CTCATGCAATATTACAAAACATGGCAACATGTAAACAAAAAGGCTAACAGTTGGTTTTGCATCATAGGCTAACAGATGACATTTAGCACGTGTTGCGTGTATTGCTGTCCAATTGACACCTAGTTGGGCTTGCCAAAATCACGCTACAGTTTCATTAAACAAATAATCAAAATGCTAACGAAGCTAATGCTTTTGCTAATAATGCTTTTGCCGAAAGCTATAGGTTACGAATAATTGTTTTGTGTGCCTTTTTAATACTGTTAGAAGCTAACATATGTTTGTTTGTATTGCCTTAAGACTATCATAGTTAATGTAAGCTAATCACACTTCATTTCAAGACACCAGAATTGTTATTAATATTAAACAAATAAAACTTTAAAAACAGTTCACATTACTCACTCTCTGCGATGCCGTTCATATTCATGTCTCATGCTCGCTAGGTGGCGATGTTGCAAAACAACTAGGGTCTAGGGTCCTGTGAGTGCGGGTCTGGGAGTGTATGGGATTAGTTTTGTATCATAAAGATAAAGCAACACTTTCTCAGAATAAAGCAAAACTATGAGTTTAAAAGAGAAAAAAAACGGAGTCAAACAAAATAAAATAAATTTCCAAAATAAAACTATAAGTTGCAAACAAATCATTTGTGTAATCATGTAAACTATAAGTCTTTTTTCTTTGTTTTAACATAGGTTTTTGTTTGCAGTTCTTGTTTCTTCTTTCTCAATGATCAGACTTTTGCTCTCGCTGCAGCTTTCTCGATTACGCTCCCTAATTTTTTGTTTGAGATTCTGACACAAACCTCCCAGGTGGGCGAGACTTTCAGGGGTGCGTCCCCATTGGCTACTCAGTTTTTGAGTGACAGCCCAGTCCTCCAGCGATTGTACAGTGCAAGCAGCTGCGGTGCGGTAGGTTAGGTAGCTGCCTGAGCGTGGATAGAACACCCTCAGAAGAACCAGCATTTCAATTATTATAATACTACAAGTGAAAATATATGTAAGTATTGATCATTTGTGTTGTTTGTGCTGTACTATACGGTCTGTTTCTTTATTGTGGTAAGTGAGAAGTAAAGCTGTGCTATGAAAGTTAGCTTTTGCTACCTTTAGATCCATAACAATGCAAGTGAGTCAGTGTTCAGACCAGTCTGGTTCAGACACCGGCGCACACCTTATTATACATCCATGTCGCACACACTCAAACGGACTTGTGTGCCTGATTACCAACAGGCTTTCATGATTCTGTTTAGATATGCAAGTATAAGCCATGATAGCTTATTTTATTAACACGCTAATTTGATATGAAAATCAATGGAGGCTGAGCTTACTTTGTAGGAAAACCTACCGTCCATGACTGCCCTTGAGCTGTGTTTTATTTGTTAACTTCATATTTTTCATTTCCGAAAACATTTATTTTCCTCTCATATTAAGGAACTAATATAACAGGCTAAGATGACAGTAGGGATGAGCAATATATGGATGTTATATCAATTTCGTGATATGTGACAAGATATTTTTGAAGATTGTGAATATTGTAATATATAAATGTTGTCTTTGCCTGGATTCATAAGGTCCCTATTATTATTTTTTAGAGTTTCCCCCTGTAGTGTGTGATATCGTTTTTTGTGTGCATGTAAATGTTCTGCAAAGGCTAAAATCCTAAAGTGACCTCCCCAACCTGAAATGCCTAGAACATAACATAGTGACATCATTATGTAACACTAACGCTTCTATTGGCTAGCGCTCCAACACATTGTACTTGTTGGCGGGACATCTCTAAGTGGTTGACCAATCAAAACAGAGCTGAAAATTAACATGATATGGCCCTTTTAAAGGCCAGTAAAAACATTGGAAGAACAGCCAAGGTCAGGTCGAACCATCTCACAATAGCTCATTTGAAATATTCCACATTAAAGCACCTCCTTTCGTGTGCCAAAGCATAACTCATTTAAAAAATACACACCAGTGTCTCTGCAGTGACCTCTGACTTCATCAAGGTATTATTGAAGGCATTTATGTCCTGGCACGCCTGATCTAAACGTGTTAGCTAGTGGTTGTAGCTTCGCTCTGTGTTACGTTGGTAAGGTCATGACAAGGGACCAGCTGGGTTCAGTGTGAACAGGAGGTTCAATCAGGACCAGTGGACCCTTCTCTGGGAGACCTCAGACATCAGTATCTACCAGTCTGAGACACTTCTCAGTCAGGAGTGTGTGTGTGAGTTGCATTTTCAAGTCTTGAGGCCTTATTGCAAGCAGGCTGACAAACGGTGTGTGTGTGTTTTCATCCAATGTATAAGTCCTAAGCCATTGCTCTCACTAACCGGTTCTTTAGCTGAGCCACTCAAGTTGGGTGATTGATGGCTGATGCTGTGTGCACTCAGATCTTACATTATTTTGTTCAACTTCAGATTGGATTGCAGGCGGGTATTGATATCTTTCCCTCTTCCAATAATCCTTGAGTGTTTACAATTGATCAAATAAGTATTTTCCCTTGGCACTGTTGTTTAGCAAAGACTGTGTTAATCACTGCTTTTGAAATCAGACTGTCAAACTATGTAATGCTGATCAGAAATATATTTAAGTGTTTAGCTGTTAAAAGAGGAAAATATTGAAAACTGTTGAGCCAAAACCGAACAATGCGTACCGGTCACATTATGCTTTCTTATCAAAAGAAGTGTGGGTTTGTTTATGTGTGAAAAACATACCTGTGCCACAGCGACTTGTGTCTGCTGCTCTTGCTGCTGGAGCTGCTGGTTGAGCAGCTGGATCTGGTGGTGGGTCGACAGGGGTCCACCTGGTGGCAGTGTGCCCGATGCAGGGAGCAGCATCCTGGGGCTGGCAATCAGGAGAGAAGCCTCCTCTGAAGCCTGCAACCACTGAGAGAAGAGAAACATGTGGTCAATATTTAGTGACAAAACCAAAAAATATTGATTGAGTATCCAGAAAGTAAAATTTGGGCACCAATTTGGCACAAGCTTGGTCATGTATTATTGCATTAAGCAGTGGTCTATTAGATACACTTACATATATAAGATATATATATATATATAATGCATATAATCCTAAAAGATATCTGATATTTGTCTGATTTTAAGGAAATTAAGTATTACAGTAGATCTAAAAAAACTTCACAAGTTTCCAGTTACAGTTTCCACAAGTTCTCAAGATTGAGGATGCAGATACACACAAGGGGGGACATTACATTAACTAACTAATGAATAAATACACATAACCACCAGCAGCATCAATAAAATCCCTTGGAGAAAAAGCCATCATCAAAACAAGAATCTGAATCTGAAAAGTGGAACTGATGATTAGTTGCACCAGTGTGGGATGAGCGGTGCTGAGAATGAAGATCAGCAGCACTGAGACTCCAACTATAATGAGCTTTTGGACTCTATCAGTCTAACATGTGATGCTATCAAGCATCCCAATTGTTTCAAAGTAACAAGTGACATATGCCCTCTCCATTATTCAAAATATATTTTGTTATGCAGATATAGTGCCTTAATCACAATATTAAATAAACAAAAATAAAGATAAAATAAAAATAAAGCATCTGCACCATTTGGTATTTAAGGCTGATAAGGACATTCAAGACAATAACACCTGGAATTGAGGGAGAACCACATGTTACAAAATAAAATAAAAAGGCACACAATGGACAGTTATCTTTTACCACTTCCTGCCAGTTTTCAGTGGAAACAATACTTTATTGAGAAAAATTCATGGCTTTTTCCAATTTAGTTTTTCCAAGAAGCAAAAAGGACTGATCCATTACAGCTTGGTTGGTTGGCTGTTTATCAAATGTTATCATACCGTCCAACCGTAGAGCATTTACAATTGAATTTGCACTTAAATAAAACACTGGATTTAATTCTTCAATCCATCAAACAGTTAAATCAGAGAATGGGTCCTCAGTAAGCAAGTATGCTGTGTATTAGACACTGAAAGTGAATGCAAGCAATGGAGTCCAATCCAACCTAACAGGCACCGAGTTGATGCAACAACAAGAAACACCAAGATGAAAAGAGGCGGTTATGAATGTCAAATATATGGTACAGTTAATTGATTGAACATGGCACAATTTCTTTTTTTCTCTAATGTTGGCTTGCTAGTTCTTGCAGCTCAGTAGTCTTTTACTCAAACACATAAAGAAAGAAGGGCTAAATGTGTGTTTGTTTCTTACTTTATATGTGACTGCTTGCAAAACTCTGAGCTTAATCGGTTTCTGTTGGTGTCACCTCTAATTCCTTTTCAAAGCTGCCAGGTTTGAACAATTAGGTAGCTGACTGAATACAAACAATGTCACATCTCTAATGGGCAACACAAGGTGCTTCAAAGTGACTGGAGTCGCAATGCCAAATAACGGTCAGCAAACAAGTTGGCACCTGATTAGATTGAACCTGAACCCTCCTTAAGGGATCCATGCCAAAACACTTTACCATCTGTCACACCGACTGGTGACACACACACACACACACACACACACACACACACACACACACACACACACACACACACACACACACACACACACACACACACACACACACACACACACACACACACACACACACACACACACACACACACACACACACACACACACACACACACACACACACACGTGACTGATTACCTGTCTTAGCCAGATCTTTTGGGTTAATGAGAGCAAATTATCAAAGATGAGAGGTGGTTTGGTGACATCACATAATAAATAGCAGGCAGAAGGTTGTGTGTGTGTTTGACTACTCAGAAAAATAACAGATCACATAAAGTAAAATCACATTATCTTGCATAATAAAACAGATGCTTTTTTCACCTTTTTGTTATATAAGCTTCTTTCAGAAAGCTGAGGCCACACTCTGCCTCTAAGTAAAGGATGTAAAACAAGACTGCAGCTTTGAAATAGCGCCTGTTGTCAGATAAATAGAGTGTGAGAGGGTTTAGGGACTGAAGAGTAAATAAGATGATTCAGCATCAGCAGTCAAACTAACAAAGAGGATGACTTGTAATATGTTTGGCCTTCAAGCACTGTGGACAGAACGATAGCCGTTTATAGAGAAATGGAAAAAGAAGACAACAATCAAACTGACTGTCAGCTGCAGCAGAATAAGAAGCTACACAGATGGAAAATAAACCCAGCTGTACATTACACCATTGGAACAGTTTATGATGGTAGTCTTACCAATAACAACTTGTATACAAGTATTAGCAGTTTCTTTGGAGACATCCACAGAATACTCTAGGAAAAATATCTTAGCAGTTTTAGAAGTATAATGTAGATGGATATTTCTGAGTAGTGCAGTGACAGTTAATACATGTGAAGCTTTTGGTATGAATGTAATACGAAAATGTGACTAAAGGCCGGTTTTCCTGGAAAATAAATGGCTTCAACAACATGTTGTCAGACAATGCCGGATATCAAAAGTGTTTCAGTTGCACATGCAAAGTTGAAAGTCGAGTGAAAAGCCAGTGTAACAGCACACACATTCAGACAGTCTTTCCAGGAAAGCAATAATGGCATTGCACTCACTTTTTTGTGTGAAAAGTTACCAAAAGAGAGCTGCAGAGACAAGTTCAAACCCTGTATGCTCTCTCTCCTCCACACTGTCAGATTTGAAAAGTTACAGAAATGGTCGGACACAGCCTCACCTAATGTGATGTTGAAGGTGTGACGGGAAGGGGGTTTCCAGGCAATTGACTTTTCTGACATCAGTTCTAAAAAAGCACACTGTCAGCATCTAGTAACACTGTTAGATCCACTGAGAACTAACACACCACGGCTTTGTGCAGCTTTTAGCCTCTTTTAGCTCGTTCATTAGGAGTTTGACAGTATGGTTGAGTCCCACGGTCTCATCAACAACCCTATATACAGTATGACATTGTCAGCAGCTGTTCTCAGCACAAATCGGCTGAACCAGCTGAGTATATGACCACTCCTGAAGGAAAGAAGGAGAGGAAACATATCTTATACAATTCCAGAATCAGCAGCTACATGTAAAGACCCATATTTTAGTCAAATGGTAGTCTGACAATCAAGCCTGCCATTTGTTTCACTTTATTCATTTGAATCACTTAATTTATTCAAGAAGATTGGAATCAGTCAGGTAAAACCTACGCAGAACTTAAAGGATATTGAATTTTGTACTTTAAAACCGCAACCAAAAACTATAAAGATTTAATTAAACGGCAAGGCAACAGTGAATATTTTCCACTTTTGTGCCAAACTGAATTTGTTACTGAAATATGTCACCTTGTTTTGACCTGTTATTACAACTTCCCCTTGAGCCAATTACTGTTAGAAATATGGACGTTTGAGGGGTTTAATGCAGAAAGATTAGTGAGAAACACCGCATTAATAATCTGGTCGGGAAAATCTATTCATAAAAATGCTTCAGTAGCGATGACATCCATCATCTTTTAGAGTTGCTTCAATGATAGACAGATGACTGAGTGATTTACTTAGATGATGGATGGATGGATGACAATGATCCATGGTGACCAATTTTCAAGACGAGCACCAAATCCAATATGAATGCAGAAGTACACACGCCAACACACTTTTCAACACACAGTAAGCACTTGGTTGAGTGAATACTTGCATATTCAAACACTGCTTAAGCCTCTCTGGCCTGGAAGCTTGTTTAAAGCAGCCAAAGCCAATTACAGAAGACAGAAGAGTGGAATATTCAAACTATTGCGTAGGAAGTTAGAGAGGTTGGAGGAAAAACTGCTAAATTTGAAATTCCTCATGATAACAGCTTGAGTCTGACCTGCCAGAGGAAAGCTCTCCCTATTACCATCTAATTCCCACACATGCGCATGCTATTACAGGCTCTTAGTAGGCAGCTGCGTCCTCCGGTATATTTTAGCATATTGTATACTCATTGGAGGATAGCAAAAGGTGGGGAAAAGTGGGTGAAAAGAAGTGAAAAAAGGGTTTAAAGACAGCAAGGTGAGATTGATGGTATGGAATAATGGAAGTCTTTATTTCTCGTCCTCCAGCTGTGATTACACTATATGCCTTCTGTCTGTCAAACACTCTGTCCCTCCCTTCCCACACACACACACACACACACACACACACACACACACGATGTTAGACAGTGTCTGGCTTCCCTCACTGCTGACAGCCTCTGCTACAGATTTACAACTTTATAAAGGGCTCTTGAGAAAAACCCTGCGGGATCGCTCTACTGAGGCACTGTATGTAATATCAGACTGCACCATCAACTGTAACATCATTAGTAGTAAAAGTAGTGGAGAGGAACTTGGGAATAAATTCACGTTAGACCTTAGTTTCCCTGTTTCTATGAATAAATCATTTAGAAGAATGCACAACTCAGTGAATATATCTCAATGGTAAGAGCAGGTGGTGCTGCCCCATTGACATTTGTGACATCCAACTGTGCATTTTATATGTATGATGTTTAACATGGGGAATTTCTCTTGCAGCGAGGAACCCACAGGGAATTATCTGAAGATTCTCTTCTCTACAAAGCACTTCAATTACTTTCTACATTATGTTCCTTGTTTCAGAGTGTAAAATGGTAATACTCAGTTTTTGCCGAAAAAGCTCCTAAAATCTACTGTAGAAATAAGACAAACAAAGTTGGCGGCTAGCTGTTAAATAAAGTGAAACATTTAGCTGCTCAAGAGCCACCTTTCTTCTTCAGGAGATAGTGGAAATCTGCTCCAAAGGTTGAACTTTCAATATTTATTATATTATTATTCAATTTGCCTGGTGCACAGACTCTTAATGGATGCTAATGTTGCACTCAGTCTGTTAGATGTGTTAGGAGGCTAACTCAAGCGTGATTATAGTGTTGAATTCACAGTTTATTTCTTGTGCGCCCAAGAGGCAAAGAAA